GCAACACTGCCGTCGCCATCGGCCGCTACTGCTTCCTCGCCCGGGGCGCCCTGCTGCGTCCCCCCGGCCGCATGTACAAGGGCAGCTTCACCTACATGCCGCTGCGCATGGGGGACCACGTCTTTGTCGGCCAGGGAACCGTCGTCCAGGCCGCCACTGTCGGGAACCACGTACAGATCGGCAAGGCCTGCACCATTGGCGAGTTTGCCATTGTCAAGGACTATGTCAAGATCCTCGACGGCACCGTGGTCCCTCCGAATATGGTCATTCCTAGTTTTTCCGTTGTTGCTGGACAGCCTGCGAGGGTTGTTGGAGAGATTCCCGAGGGAGGACACGATGAGTTTGAGCTGAGGGATCTGTACAAGACTGTGGGCAACAATCCTCAGCCTCCTGCTTCGTGAGCTTTCAGGGTCAGGGTGAGTGTACGCAGGGATAGGCAGGTGACCTACTCGTATTCGACTCGTGGGCATATATCTTGTCTCAACAAGAAACCGGTCTGTTGCCCGGTGAGCGGCCAGTTACGCAGACCTCACGAGGCCATCATCATGCGGTCTTTGTAACGGCCCCTGAAACTCAAGGAGGATGCGGTCGAGATAATGGCCTCTATTCTGCAACTCCTGGTATCAGAATACCGGGTCACCATGCGCAGCACATACAAGAGAATATTCATGCTTGTTGATATACACAAAGACGAAAACAAAGACTAGGCGGAGGAGGATGCCACTAGAATAGCCAAGTTAATGATACCCTTTTGATCTTTTCTTTCGAATCGTGTTGTTTGTTTGAAAACAGTGCATGAAGCTGGCTAGCGTTCGAACTGTGACAGTGCCAGCCTGCAGTGGATAGCATCATGCGCCAAATCACCCATAACTTGAGGATACATAGAGCACCATGCACTAAATAACCCATGACCAGAATTATATAGAGCATCATTACAGCGAGACACTTATAGAGATTTCTTACATGTGCATTATTCTCATACCCCCGGTTTGTTGCGTTCAGAACTGTCGAGTGAGCAGGCGACAGCAAGGTCCCCGTCATTGATACATCCAGGCAGCCAAGCTAGAGACTCGATAAGCTGCTGTGGCAACTATCTCAGACTCTCCCCCGCTCATCTTCCCCTCCCGAGTCTTTTCCTCTTCACCAGAGTTTTCCCTCCCCCTTCAGACTCTGCTCCCTCATCCTCTACCCTCACCACAACAGCTCAACACTCGGTTTCATCGTTATCAAAATATTCTTAACGATGGCGCCTTTCCCATCGAAGCTCGTCACCGCTTACCCGCCCTGGTGCGAGGATATTGGCAGCCAGAACCCGGAGCCAACTCCAAAGCCATTTGCTCTCACGCTCCCTCATGTTATCCGTCGCAACACTCATCTCTACAAGACCATCGGCGAAATGGACGACCTCACTGACAAGGCTCTCAAGGAGCGCCTCACCCCTCTTTGCCGCGAGCTGCAGGAATACCAAGAGCAAGACAAGGAACAGGTCCATGGTATCTCCAAGGCCCTCGTCGCCAAGTATGGCGAGTGTTCCATCCGCGTCATGTGTCGCACCTGGGACCTCTACCTTGCACTCACCACTACCCCCGAAATCCCTGGCGATGACCCTGGCATCCTTGAACAGACCGAGTGGCTCTCCAGCATCCGCCGGGTCGTTCTGTACCACATGCACGTCCGCCTGCTTCGTGACCAGTTAGATAACGCCATCGCCGCTTAGTTCGCGGACGACTTTCAGGTCATCAGCAAGTTCCAGGAGGAAGGTCTTCAGAGCACCTATGTCACCAACGTCCTCGTCCAGGAGCAGTCTGACCGCATCAAGCGTGCCGAGAGAGAGCGCGAGGTCTTCCAGGCCATGCACTACGAACTCACTCAGGAGAACCTTGAGGATATGCCAGCCTACAAGAGCACCGCCCTCGGAGAGCATTCCCTTTCTGCCCTCCGTCGCTGCGTCTACACAGCCCAGGTGTTCCATCAGGCTCTCCGTGACAGAGGAGAGGAAGTCCTCGAGAATGATGACGAGGAGATCAAGTGGATCTACCAGGCCAAGCAGCTCTGGCACATTGCCGGTCGTGCCGCCATGAGCTGGGCTCCACGCCGCCAGGGAGAGATTCAGGGTATTCTCACGGCCTATTGTGAGGACCTCATCGTCCGTCGTCGCCGCGAGGGTTACGAGCAAGACGCCATACTCCGCGCCCAGCTGCAGGCCATTCTCGGAGATACTCGACACGGGAACTCTTACATGGCAACTGAAGATTCCAACCCTGACGAGGACGAAGACGAGGATGCTGAGGGCAAGGGGAAAGAGAACGCCGACTAAGGAGTTTCACTGACTCGTCCACCGTCACGACTACGTGGATCAACGGAGATCGATCTCGACATGGAAGGAATCTGTTTCTTGGCAGCATACTCGACCAGTTCCAGCTGGGTTATTTACGACTAACGACTACGACCCCACGGATGAGGGCTATCAATCAACGAAGGAATCATCGATCAGCGAGAACTGATCTCGAACTCGTCAAGAGTAACGTCGAAGATCACTCGGTAAGCATCTCCATGTCGGCGATAGGGGGCAGCAACTGTGTGAACATGACAGTGCTAACGAACATCTATCAGCACACACGAGGTTACTCATCGATACACGAAATTATTCTTCAGCGCAGGATGTTATCAGACACTGCGGGAAATCGCGAATTATGACACGGAAGGCATCGATAAGGACGGAAGGTTATGAATTAGGACAGGAAAGTCCTCATGTACGATTTATTCAAGAGCCAGCCAGGGGCGCTCTAACTATCAGCTACTAGCTAGCTACATCAATTGCTTCTTTTCTAGTCATGTTTTCTGTCTTTTCAGTGACTGTTCTCTCATAACACTCTGGTGCTTGCTCCTTAAAGTCCCCTGGCAGGTCCACCCAGTCAAGCCTCACGAGCTTATACTGCAGAGACTGCGGCAATGAAGCTAGCAATTCTTTTCTAGAGCACTACGTTTCTAGTGTGAGCTAGGCGTTCTGTGCCTCCAGATAGGGCCAAATGCCCTTGTAACTGGTCTCTGGTGCTCGAGTTGCTCGTTCAAGGTCCAACGCAGCAGGGAACACTTCTCGTTGAATACACCACCCACGCCAAGCACAGGCGAGAATTTTCCATCACAGAAGGACCTTCTACCTTCTGTCCTTTGTTACTGAGCCACCCTCTCTGCCTTTTGATTCGCAAATAGTCACACACGCACGTGCTTGCAGTTACGGCCTCCAAAGACAAAGAAAGTAGCCAGGATAAGTTACCGGAGGTCAAAGCAAACAGTCTTGCCCACAAATATATATGCCAACATTGTACCTGGATTCAATATCAAGCTTTGACAGGGTTCTGAAGACAACCTCGACTCCTTGACGGCAGCACTAGAAAGCCATTGGTGCCTGACACGACGAGGGGGACGAACAGAGACAGATTCCCCAGTCATTTTCAGCCATGAATGTTGCAGGCTTCATTTTATCCATGTCTTCTCTAATGGTGCTCCAACGGATATCGTTTGAACAGCCGCATTGAGCACACTGCTTTTCTTTCCGGCTAAAGCCTGCATCAGACCACACGCTCAGTGGCATGATCCAGTGACAAACAAGGAACCCCAGACCCTTTTCTTTTCCAAACCTGGAAGACACCCTCTGCAGGTCATGTTCCATTGCTTTCATAGTTCCCGTCTCTTCCGTCACCTGTGGACCACTCCCTTGTTGTTTTGCTAGGTTTGGCAAAGCCCCCTGGATGCGGGTAGCTGATGCATCCCGAGTCCGCTGAACCCTGAAGACACCCAATTTTAGATCGAGCTTGCCAGTCAGTGTGCGCTCGGCTTTGTCTCGGTGTGTGACGTCGGTTTTCTTCTCTAGCTTCCTAGAGGTCCATTGCGTCTATCAAGGGCGAGGCAATTGCAGCATTGGATGCATTCAAGATATCGAGAAGATACGTTTGTTTGTGCTCCATATGAGCTTTGACCTCCGAGGACTGTTTGCTTTGACTATAGTAGCAAACATGGCCAAGACATGGCTGCATCCCTTTGTTGTCAGTGTCCGCCGGTTGCCAAGTGCCTTGGCAGCAAACACATACCTGCGAGCTACACAATATATATATAAGTGGCGTCGATTTCATCAGAGCTCGCAAAAAAGAGACATGGTCCATATTCCTCTCTTCTCGAAGCAATAGAATTCCTCTCTATCACTTGGGCCCATGACACCTTCACGTAATTTCTGCCTATATAAACCAGACAACCACTTGACCCTGTTTTATGTTCTCTTTGTATAGGACGGTCACCGTATTGCAAATTTATATACTCACAGGACATAAAGTCAATCAGGAAGCATTCACGTGCCAGATACAACTAGGTATCCATTATCGGCCGACATGATCCAGCTCACCGCAACTTGGACTCAAAGCCCATCACCCAAACAAACGCCAAGATTTGTCTCATGGCATTCCAAGCCTTATCCAGTCAACAATCGTTCTGACATGTGACACAGCCCAAGACCACAAATCTCCCCTCAACTTGAGCGTCTCTCAACACCAAGCAACCAGCACATCACCACCACCCATTCCAACGTTGTAAAACGGTGCACTAAACATAGATTTCTAGGCCAAGAAAAAGCTTCATCCCCTCCAAGCCAAGCACCCAATCATTCCAGTCTTTCCTCCACACCTCCTTCTCCGGATAAAGCCGGCCCACAAACGCATGCGGAGAAACCGTTGCGGGGGAGAAGAAGGTTTTCTCTCCCGGCCGGACGGGAACGGAGGTCTGGGTGCTGAGCCACAGGAACAGCGAATGCCGGGAATCGACCGTTGATGGTGTGTAAGAGGTCGGTTCGCCCGAGGTGCCGTTGAAGTTGGGCTTGGCCCAAGTGCCGAGTCTATCTTCGGCAGTCTTGAGTGCAACACTCTGATAGTCGCCGATATGACCTCGCCGATGATGTTGGCTCGGGGACATGGGTGATGACATTATAGTGCTCACGGCAAACCAAGCGGTGAAACCAAATCAAGAGTTCATTAACGTTTCGTCTTTGATCAATTATTCTAATCAGTGACTCTATCAAGAAAGCCCGTTCTAGGCGTTGAGCCCGGGGCCATTCCCCGGGGCTCACATGCTCTCGACTGTCTAATAGACCGGGGGTATAAACCGAACAACTCCAAGAAATCAAGTACGAGCTTTGTTTGCCCGTGAAAACAGAGAGCGAAGAGAAAGAAAGAAAAGTTTGCTTCAGCTCTTTTCGTAAAAAAAAAACTTTTTGGAACCCCCTCTAAACGCCTTGACCAATATGCAAATGCTTCAAAAAAGAATCCTCTCTTTCCCCTTTTTTTTTTCGCGCCAAAGTATACAATTGCCGTGTCGTCGTAAAAAGCTCAGGTTTTGCTGTAGTGTAACAGTAACAGGTCTTTGAGAGTAGTGGAGATGGGTCGTGCGCAAGCCTCAGAGAGTGTGTGAGGTTGCGGTGAGGGAACATAGGGGAGCGGGCGGCGGGATGAGGCGTATGCCTTTTTTACAGCATCAGCTGGCGCGCCTTCTCCTCGGCAAAGGCCTTTCGGCTCATCAGGAGAACACGCTCAAAGCCCTCGCGGCCCTTGGCAGCGTTCTCCTTGAAGCGATGCACCAGGGTGTCCTCGATGCTGTTCTTGATGCGCTGCCAGCCACCGCACAGGGCGGTGATGTTGGCCGTTTGGATGAACTGGGTCTGGTGGTCGCCCAGGGGCTTGTAGATGACCTCCTCTTGTACGTTGACGAGGTTGCTCCACGTCAGGTTCTGGCTCACCATAGTGACGGTGCGGTTGACGGGGTCGACATAGCTGGCCTCGTAGACGAAGCTCTCGTCACCGGTGCTGCCAACAATGGTCTTGATCCAGTCGGGGACTGACTGCTTGCAGGTGATCAGGCGCTCGGTGCGGAGGATGCCCGTCTCGGCGTCGACGTCGCGTGAGAGGGTGTCGACGGCAATGACGTGCTCCGACTTGTTGTTCCAGGGCCCGTACTTTCGCCAGTTGGCTGAAGATACCTCATCCCACGAGTAGTTGAAGGTGACTGCGTTGGAAAAGACCTTCATTGTGACTGTAGGATTCGTAGGTCGATGTCGGTGGGAAGAGTTGCTGATGGAAAGTTCGGTGCGGAGTAGGAAGCTTTTTTTTTTCCCTGTACTGCCGGAGGGGGGGCTGGATCAGGAACAGGAACGAATGGGCTCTGATGATTGCAGAACCAGAGAATAAAATGAAGGATGAAAGGAGACGCCTCTCAATTAATATCCCAGGCAAATAAACGACGACGACAAGAGATTCCCCGGTGGCGATCAGTAGACGGAAGTGAAGGGCAATGATGAGCAAGCGGGAATGCGGCCTTTATCTGGGGGAGGCACTGCTTGATAAATTTGATCCCGCATGTGAAGAAGACTCGCACACTGCTCGCTATCTCCGGCCTTCGGAAGCTTGGCCCGAGCGTCGCCACTGCGAACGCTAACCCCAATTTGAGCAATGTCTAACCTTGTATGGCAAGGTCGGTCCGGATCGCGAGAAAGCCTCGGGATTCTGCCATGCTGTGATTGGCCCGGCCAGCAGGAGGGCCTTTTCTACCCTCCCAGAGCCGCGCTTCGGAGCTGCGTCTTACAGGATGGTCTCGTGCAGAAGGAGCAAAAAAAGCTGGAGGGCCTGTGCCACAAGGTGGCGAGTGCGTCAAAGGATGGGGAAAAACCGGAGAAGGGACCCAAGGTATTGGCGATCAAGGACCAAGCATTGGCCAACCGCCGCAAGATCCTCTTTCTGGGTTCGTCGAGATCGGGAAGGGATTGACTTGTGCAAATTCAGGGTCTCAATGCTGGAATGTGCAAGAAGGGGCATGTTTCGAATAATTGATTCTCCTGTCAGCCACGTTTTTAGGACGCAATCGATCGGGATCTTGCAGACTCGTCAAAATGGCCAGATACTTGCATAAAAGGCATCCATCACAACTACGTAGGTAGCAATTCCAGGCGCTTATGCATGCTCGAAACCAGGGACGTGGTCAATGGCAGCTTAATGCAGTGCAGTCTTGTGCAACAGGAGGCATGGTCATTGCAACTTTGTCAAACTCAAGTCATCAAACTATACAGATTTTCCTCAAGAGGCTATGCACGCATCAAAAGATGGGAACCGTATTTCAGAGTCCTTCTTGCAATCCATTACATAGCTCCGTTTGTAATGTATCGGCTAGTAGTCATCACCACGGCTGACGACCTCCTTCACGGTGGGTCGAATCAGAATGGTCTATACACCGTTAGTCAATAGTACCACACTATATGCAGGCTTCACTTACATGCTCAAACTGAGCAGTGTATGAGCCCTTCTTGTCACACAAGGGCGGGTACGCTTCGACAATGCCGCTGTTGACAAGGCTGTTGAGCTGCACGCTGTTAGCTTCACCTCCAAAAACACACATCATAGCCACTCACCCCGAGCAGATACTTGTCCGAGCCGAGGCGGTCCAGGTATCGTCGGCAGAACGGCAGCGTGCCAAAGTTCTTGTTGATCACGTTGAGCAGATTCTTGGCCGAGCTCAGGCGCAGGTCAACGTGCTGCGAGTCTCCTCGCTTCGCGTAGTGCGACGTCTCCATGTCATCCCGGACGTATCCGTTGCCGGTGCTGCCGAACGTCTCGATGGCAAAGACATCGCCCTCCTCCATCTTTGTCTGATCGTTACTCTTGACAATGGGCACCGCCTTGGTGCCGTGGATGCTGTAGGGCAGAATATTGTGGCCCGTCAAGTTGCGGATACTCTTGACGGGGTATGTAGTTCCGTCAATCTCAACCTCGAAGCTCTCCATCACTTCCTGGATAACGCCTCCAATCTCACCAACTCGGGCGTCAATGCCTGCCTCGCGGATACCCGCGTTGGTGGCATCCTTAACAGCCTGGAGCAGGTTATCGTACTTGGGCTCGAAAGCCATGGTAAAGGCCGAGTCGACGATGCGGCCGTTGACGTGGACACCAAAGTCCACCTTCATGACATCCTCCTGCTGCAGAACCATCTTGTTGCCGGCGTTGGGAGTGTAGTGCGCGGCGCAGTGGTTGAGACTCAGACCGCAAGGGAAGCCCATACCAGCCTTCATGGCATCACCCTCAGTCAAACCATCGTGACCGGTCAAGGCACGGACACTGTTCTCAATACCCTCGGCGATCTCGGTCAAGGTCTGGCCGGGCTTAACAGTCTTTTGCGTCCACTGGCGCACTTGGCGATGAATCTCGGCCGCCTCCCGGAAATCAGCCAGGAAGTCGCTGTTGAGGTTGTCCAGGTGACGCTTCTCCTCGTTTGTAGTGCGGTAGTTGTTCTCATCCTTGTACTCAACCTCCTCTCCCTTGGGGTAGGCCTTGTTAGGGAACAGCTGGCTGATCATGACGCGGGGAGGGTCAGTCTGGCTGGTGGGGTGCTTCTTCTTCTTCTTGGGCTTTCTCTTCTTCTTCTTCTTGGTGGCCTCGCCAGTAGGGGCGGCGCCGTCGACGTGTCCATCGGCTTCGTCTTCAGAATCATCTCCGCCGTGTTCGTCGCCGGCAGCGTCGGTCTTGGATTGGGCGGTTGCGCCGGGCTTCTGAGAGCCTTCGGCCACTGCGGGGCGCTCGGAGTCAGTTCGATCCGGGCCTAACGGTTCACAGCCTCGTTCGGGGAAGACGCTTACCGTTGAGCTCCTTGAGAGCTTCGGTGGGTACTTGAGCTGCCATTTTGGCTAACTACGTGAGGGTGAAAGAGCAATGCTGCTGTCAAGAAGAGAAATGGTGGGAGGGTTGGAGGGAGTGGGAAGACATTACCCCACCAGAGTTTTAGCTTAGGTGACATAAATAGCTGTTCATTAGGGTGCCATTTTGGTGTGCAGCACTTTTGTCACCCCAAGTCCCCACAACAGATTTTTGACATGACGAAAGTGGGTGCATCACACGTTGGCCACGCGAGGATTCGGTGAATACTGGAGTATTATTAAGAGTGTGGGATAATGTGAATTATTCTTGTTATCCGCAATACTTCGTATTGTAAAAGCCATAGCTGACTCTCAGCTTACAACATTGATGACCAAGTATACAAATGTTTCAGCCTACGTAAGAGAATAGTCCCGGAGCTGGCCTATCCTTGAGGTCACAACGTCTGCGCCACCTCCTGGTTCCTGAAATCGAGTAAGACGGGGACTCATTAGGTCCATCAATCGAGGTTTGGCGTGTTATTTTTGCATTCAATATTTCAGTGCAGGTTGATCTGTTTCCATGCCACGACCCTGCAGTTGTTGGTGGCTTTTGAGCTGTGAAACACCTGGCATCATTCAGCAGCTGGGAAAACTTGGCGCAGGGTAGCTGCAAGCAAGTATCTGACGTCTGGAGGCCTCAAGCCCCATGACGAGAACCCGAAAAATGTAGCCATTTTGATCGTATTGTCCGTCTAATGCCTGACTCTAGGGTAACGGGACGTGAAGATCCCCCCGCCAAAAAGGGCCAGACTATGACCTCACCAGCCGCTGAAATCAAGCCTAACCCGTCCAAATTCAGGGCATCACGGTCTAAGGGTCAAAAGCCACAGAATTCACGAATGGCCTCTTAAAGGGGCGCCTCCGAAACCCTGTCACGTCCTTTCCCTGACTCCGACTTGTCATGATCCTCCGCCTCGTGAGCAGACAAGCCATCATCAGCCGTTACCAAGCCAAGGCTTGCGTGGCCCATCGCTACAACCGTTTCTCCACTGGAGCCTTATAAGCTGGAGCTTCTGCTAGCAGCGCCACTTCGGGCCGCCCGGTGCCCCTCCACTCCGTCTTTCAGCTTTCCTTCACTGTCTCACCAGCAGCACGGCGCTTAACTAGACCATCAATTCCTGTCTCACGTTTTTTTACTCTTCCAGTTTTGCCTCTACAGTCGCCTAGGAGGCCTGTTCTGCTAGAATGGGAGCCTCCAACCCGGAAAACCTGGCGTCAGGGCCAGATGAGAAGTCTCCTATCGAGAGGAAGACTGTCGAGAACGTAGCTCCCGAGGAGCCCTCATTCGAACGAGCCCCGACACTACCCCCAAGACCTGTATCGATCCAGTCCAAGAACGAAGACCTCGACGAGAAAGCCCTGGAGGCTGGATACGACGAGAAGCTGCCTCAACCGAACAACGGCTTCACCATACATCGCAAGCCTGTTTCCAACAAAACCCCTCCTCAGTCGATCAAGATCGACAAGTCGCAACCCGAGGACTTTGAGGGCGAGGTAGCCACCACAAACGAGCTACCTCCCCCCGAACTCCTCAAAAAGATCGAAGACTACATCGTTCTAGACCGCCATGGAAAATCGCATCCCTTCTCGAGCCTATACACGGGCAGCAATGTAGCCCGACGTGTGCTCATCATCTTTGTCCGGCACTTCTTCTGCGGCGTACATCAACCCCAACCCCTGAAGCCCGTATAAACTCTAACATGGAAGTTGCAGAACTGCCAAGAATTTCTTCGGTCTTTGTCTGACGCCGTAACTCCCGAAGCTCTCCTCCGACTCCCCGTCAGCACCTTTATCGCAGTGATTGGCTGTGGTGATCCCGCCCTCATCGACATGTACGTGAACGAGACAAACTGCCGATTCCCCGTCTATACGGACCCGACGAGGTCTCTCTTCCATGCCTTGGGCATGACCAAGACGCTTCAGATGGGTGCGAAACCTGCATACATGCGCAAGAGCATGACACGGAGCATTGTGGATAGTATTGTTCAGGGTGTTAAGCAGCTACCTACTGGAAATGTTCTCAAGATGGGCGACCAGCGCCAGGTTGGCGGCGAATTCCTCTTTGAGCCGCGCAATATCCTCACACCAGTTACAACACCACGCGACGAAAAGTTCCAACCCATGGACACGCTGGAAGATCCTCAAGATTCAGCACCAGGACGCGAGAACGGCAGGAGAAAAGATTACGGGGACGAGGAAAAGAGGGTGACGTGGTGCCATCGCATGAAGACGACGCGAGACCACGCCGAGATCCCAGAGCTCATCGAAGTCCTGGGCCTAGACGTTTCCCAGAGCGCTGGCCGCAACTCGGTAACGTCTGCCCGGAAGGGCAAGGGCCAGAGCATGGCTCAGGAGATCCGGAAACTGAGCGCTGAAAGGGCTCGGACGCCTGAGACATGAATGTATACGACATGACAGATCTGCTTGTGGTTTTGGGATTGCTGGTTTGACACAGCGCTGGAGTAGGGATTCATGGTGTTCTTTTTTTCTTTCCTTTGTTTTGCATAGCTCAGTCGTGTTACAAAATGTTCTTGATGCTCATGACACATAGCTTAGATATAGTATTTAGAAGTGATATCCATTGACATTGGTCAACAGAACATATAAACCAAGCTACTTCTATCTTACTCATTCGCCCTACTCGTGCACCCAGCTGCCGTCTTCCCGACTCTGGATGACTTCGTCTACTTTAAGTCTATACTTGATAATCTCATCCCCGTTTACCAAGTCATTCTCCACAGCCCTTCGGTCCCCTTCCTCGAGGTCCTTTACAATACCTGCTCTCACATGCCTCTCCCTCAATCTCCTCCTCGCAACCTCATAGTCGACTTCGACGAACCATAGCTCATCTAGTAGCCCCGCCGCATCGCGCCACACATCCTGATCCAGGGCGAGATAGTTGCCCTCCAGCACGACGATGCGGTGCTCCGGCCTGACCTCAATGTCATCGTCTCGCGGATCTTTGAGAGCATGATCAAATGATGGTGCGAGGACAGGTTCCGACGGGATCGGAGTCGCAGACAGAGCTTGAACAAGGGCCAAGAATTTGGGAGCGTCAAAGGTGAAGGCTGCCCCGCGGCGGAAGTGGGCCGTAGCTGGGTCGGGCATGGCTGAGAGGGCAGCGCGGGTGAGGTGGAAGCCGTCCATGGGGACAAAAGTTGCGGGAGGAGGAGACGAGGGGTCCGCGCGGGCATTGAGGCGTGCAGTGATGATCTGGGACAAGGTTGTCTTGCCGGAACCTGGGATGCCAGCGACGCCGATTACTAGAGACGAGTTAGACGCATGCTCCAAATCTTGAGGTAACAACTCACATAGCCTCTTATCCTTGGGCGTCTCCTCAAACTTCTTCCACGCCTTTTCAACGAGTCTTTCAACTTGAGTATTCATGGTGTCTATATGATTTGCAAGATGAGAAATCGAGTACCGATCCAGACACCAGAAGCTGGAGTGTCGTCCTGATATGCCCCGCGTTCCGAGGACCCTGCCCCACGTTGTTACATCAGACTCTCCACCTCGGAGCGTTGTACGCCGATGCTATCGAGAACATGGATGTTTATATATGGATTTGTAAGGATGTCTGGTTGTATAATTTTGAGTGCATTTTTTTATTCCTTTACTTTTTTATGTATCATGGCTTTGCAAGGTGTTGTTACGGTCTTGGACTTGGATTACAATCCCATTCTCACCTTCTTTAAACTATATAGTTTCTGCCAAGAAAAAAAAATACAAATGATTAATATCCCATAGGATACTATCCTTTTACTTCTGCTATTGTCCACCAACTTCAGCCATCAAAGTTTGACTCTTTGTTCTCAAGTGACGCCACCAACCAACCACAAAACACCACAAACTTCAAGTGGGTCCATCACCAACTTCTTCCCTCCAGAAATCTCATCTCCTCCTTCAACACAACTCAACCTCACAAAAAATGGACGAAGAAGACCCCCTCGCCAACTTTTCCATCGCAGACGTCTCCTCTGACGAGGGAGAGGCAGACACAAAGGAAAATCGTCGTACCGGTCAGACAGAAGAGGCGTGGCGGGCAATCCAGCGTGACTACAAGACAAAAGTTGAAAACGGCGATGTAGGCATCCCTTTCTGCTCGTACCATTTTTGAAATCGAGAGACTGAGAAAAATTCAGATACATAAAAAGATCAAACTGCCCTTAGGACCAGGGGCTTCTAAAATGGTCATCCAGGAGGTCATCCATGCTGTCGAGGAGCTATACTTCTTCCGCCGTTACCACGAAGCTGCGCAATTAGCCACCGAGGCTCTCGCTGGGAGCGATGGGCTTGATCGAGACTCGCAGCAGCTCTTGGACGTCTATCAGGGGAAATGCCAAAAAAAGCTCAACCTACAATCATGATGAATGAACAATTCAAAAAGAATAATATTCACTCGACGGATACTCTCGACAGTCACTGAACTCCATCTTCATGTCAAATCTGTGTGTATTCATCATTTGGGCTATCTTGCAAGCTTCTACCAAGGACAGATCCTGTGCACACCTTACAAACATGCCTTCTCAAGTATCAAACCGTCCGCCTGCCTTAGTACCCTTTCGTCAAAGATTGATGTCTCCAACTTGACTTGGTCAAGTGCCAGGCGGTCAGTAACCGGAGCACCATGCAAATGCCCGAATGATTTAGCACACACACTGATTCTCTTCCATCTCCAACCATGTGATTACCTGCACGAGACTGAATGCCTCGGAGAGGAGAACAGTAGTCTGGTCTGACTTACTGCTCTTTCTTGATGCGAGTACCGGTGAAGCAGTTCGCAAATTCAACACGTCCACTTGCATAGCGAGAAGCGCTTAGGCCCTTGCATCCTTCAAGCTGGGTGCCAAGCAGAGAAGCAGACGTAGAATGACCCTGCTGATGGCTGACGGCACGCTGCTGAGGGGCATAGGATGGGACAGAGGCGGGTGCATCTCGCAGAGAAAGGGCACGAACACCTTGAGTTGCTTGCTGAACGCCCTGGTCCTTCTCCTTGAACCCTTCGTTCTGACGACGAAGAAAGTCGATCTGGAATTGTACCATCCCCTGCAGCAGGTCGCAGAACTTATTCTTCAGGCTGTCGTTGTAGCCTCGGAAGAACCCGTTCTGGACCCAGTGCTCAATGATGCCGTCTGTAATGCCCTCAAGAGCTGGTTGGAAAAATTCCTCCTTCAGAGCCATTTCTCGCTCCTTTGGGGTCATTTTAGCCAGCATCCGGTTGACCAGGACAACGACGTGTCTGGTCGCATTCTCCAAGTTGAGCGCCTGATTGTTGTCGACAGTCGTCCAGCCATTCATGGAAATAAGTGGCTCGAGATCATCATTGAGGTTTGCGAGGGAGACCACCGATCCCGCCTGCTGATCAGACTGCTGTTGGTCAGGCTGCTGCGGCTCAAGCTGCTGCTGCTCGAGAATCTCCTGATCAATCTGCTGCTGATCAGTCTGCTGCTGGCCGACCTCGCCGGTCTTCTCCTGAGGTTGATGGGCCCGGGCCGACTTCTGCATCTTGGAAAGGTGCCGTTTGAACTTCTTGGTTTCGCTCTCGTCGGCGAAACGAAGGTAAAAGAAACCACCATTGGACAGCTGAGCGAAGGCACAGAACTGACCATCAATGACTGGGCTGCCCAGTTCTAAAGCATCTATGGCTCGGCGCGGCTTTCCCAGAGCCGAGAGTTCTAGGACAGCTCTGTTCTCACTGATGAGCAACTTCATAACCAATTCTGCGGCAAAGGAGAGTGCCTCGTCCTTTCCAGGCACGACCTGACACTGTCCGGTGCCGATGACGTGTTCCGCCAGAGTGGGATCCAAGGTCATGGTGTTGAGAATGAACTTGAGGTTCGTAGAGGCAGGGGTGGCGCCGGCGGCTTCGGGGACATTTCCGTTGCTTTCATGCTGGACCTTGGGGCTCACAGTGTCAACCTTCTGAGTAGCAACAAGAGGCTGCTCGGGAGCCGGAGTGGTGTTTTGGGGACCCCATTGGGCCAAGGTGACAGATGGGGCACTGTTCTGACCGACCGAGCCCTGCACACGAGGATCCTAACCCGGTGCAGCTGGCTTGAAGGGGGTTCGGTTACCCGACTTCTTGGTTGGGGGGAAAGATTCAATGTCGTCATCTCCGCGACCTCTCTTGGGGACGGCAGACGGGATGCCTCTACCTCTTTACAAGGATTAGATATGTCCGATATTATGGATAGATGAACTTACCCAGTGTATCCACGAGTCTCAAGGAATTCCCGGGCCTTCTCCTTTCCCCATGGACGTGCGTTCTCGATCTCGAGACCCTCGGTTTGACGAGACTCCTCATCGTCGATCTTGACGGTCCACTTGTTGGAGAGTCCCTCCTTCAGGGCAGGGTTGATGTGGTCGGTTCCGTTCCGACGGGTGGGGTTAAAGGACGGACCTCGCTTTTCTTCAGCGCTCAAGGGAAGTTCCTCCTGTCGAAGACGATTGAGGTCGGCCTAAAGAGATTTGGGTGATTAGGAGCTGCTCTTGGTGATGACACAAAGCGTGAGGATCAATGAAGGGAGAGAGGAAAGGCAGTGTTTTGGCCGCGAGAACATACGTGCGTGTTGATGACGCGATGCTGCAAGAGAATCTTGACCATCCACGGATGTGCATGACTGAAGAGGAGAGGGCCAAACAAAGGGAAAGGGACAAAGGGAATGTCATGGGATACAATAGGTAGTGAGAGAGAGACACTTACCATGGCGATGAGCCGCTTCTCGTTCTCGCGGGGGTCGATGTTGTCACTCATCGTTGCTCATGTACGAGAAAGAAGACCGGGGAGCAGAGTGAAAGAGAAGCCTCGACTGGTTCAAGCAGTCGAGGTGCGCAGAGGAGGTTTGCTTTCAAGAGACGGTTGTCCTGAGCGGTGATGTTTGGTGGAGAAAAAAGAGAGGAGAGGGGCGGGTGGTGGAGGGGAGTTTTGTGCGCGAGGTGAGGGCCACCGTAGGTAGGGCAACCACAGGCGGCCTGGAGATAATCCGGCCTGGGAAGAAAGGAGTGAGGATGGCGGAATATCAGAGAACGATATAGAAAGAAGATGGGCGAGGCCTGAGTGGGAAAATGCAGTCGGTGTTGAGCTTCGCTTCGAGGTGCGCGATGAAGGAGAGGGAGGTTGACCTCGATGGAAGCGTGCGGAGGAAGGAGAAGAGGTCGAGGCCGCCTCTCTGAGTGTGTTGGATAAGGGAAGAAAAGGGCCAGGGCAGGTGCGGGCCGCGAGGTTCTTCGCTGCTGCCGTTTAGGAAGGGAGGTCGGTGCCTCAGGGGCCGAGGAGCTACAGCACCGTCAGTGATCGGACGAACACGACCACCAAAGTACGTACCACAGGGAAATCAAAAAGAAAAAAAGTCGAATAGCACAAATAAAGGCCATAGAACAATGCCTGACTAAAGAATTTTACTTTTGATTTCCGGTGCACTCCTTTGGGGGGAGTGTGCAGGCGACTCTGGGTGCGATATCTCTCCGTCTGAACCTTTCGCAGCCCCGAGATATAGCGAGCAGGTTTACCGTAAACGCACTAAACCAACAGCTGAATTGACCAGGCAGCAGAGGGAATTAATCGGCGGGAATTGAGGGGCATTGAATTTGGCACGCCTAACAATCAATCTGCACCAGGCCTGCGTGCACCTCTTTGTCCCTGGAAATCACGGCAACATTGCACTCGACATGTTTGATTTTATCTCGACTAAATGAAGCTACCTCTTTGATATTATTGTTTGGCATTGAAGTTCATCCCCTCTGCGATGCGAAATCACTGTCGGTAGGTCTCTATTTACCCCCGTTAATCGGTGTTTTGGAGCAGTCACCACGCCGACACTGACGCTTTTCCCATGGTCAAGTTTTTGATTTCAAAATTTAGCACCACCGAAGAATTTAAAGGCCAGCAATGTGTTTTTACTCTGTTTGAATTCTTACTGAAACTTGCTGGCTTTGGTGCTGACAACATGGAATCATCCAGATCTAGACTACCAATCCTCCCTCCTCGACCTACACGACTCCGCTTCCATCCTCAACCCCGAATAAAGACAGTTCTAGACGACTACAAGGCGAAATACTTTCCAAGGAACCTCTCCAGGGTCATCAGCTTCGCATTGTCGCCAGACTCTCCCTTGGCCTCGGCCGCCTTCGCCTTCAGCTCACCTGTGGTGACCACGTCGTTGGGAACGCCATAGTACAAGCCGCCCGAATGCTGGCAAAAGCCGAACATGTACTTGACCGTTTCAAAAGCCTCGACTCCGTATGTCTCCATCGTCTTCCAGTCCTCGATGGACACGAACCGGGCCTTCTTACCAGTCACTATCAAACAGTCAGTTGCTGGGACAATAAATCAAAGGGGCATCTGGCACATACACTTCTCAAAGTCAGAGACGAGCTGCTCAGGCTTCGAGCTAGAGCTGATGCCCTGAGTGAGGCGTCCGTTGTGCTTGCTGGGATCGAGGAAGATACCGTGGACAATATCACCATAGTCGTCGCCAATCGCGATGAAGGGAATCTCGTCGTTGCCGCCCCAGCGAGGGATGTGCAGAGTCAGGTATCCCTCTTCATCAGGAGTGAAAGGGAATCCTCCAAGGACAGGGGCAACTTCCTCGACGAGATGGTTCTCCATGTACCAGCCAGGGCTGACGATGTTGACAGTGTCGAAGACACCCTTGTTCTTGGCATATTCTCCAATGGCATGCTTCTCTGCGAAGAATTAGGAAGAAGAAACACGAGCTGAAAGCGAAAAAGAACATACCCTCGAAGGCCTTGTTGGGGACGGCTCCTCCAGTGATCTCGGACGCAGAAGCCATACCACTATACACGAAGTGACGAACTCCAGCTTCCGCGGCGGCATCAACGATGCTCTTACCCAAGTCTGTCTCACTTGGGCCGCCAGGTTGGCTCACAGCCTAGATTCCTATTAGAAATTTCTTTGTTGCTGATCTTGATAACTTACAGGATCATCCGAGTTCGTATTGACAAAGACTCCCCAGCTGTCCTTGAAGGCTTCGACCACTTCCTTCTTGACAAGACCATCGGCCTTGACGACCTCGACACCCTGTTCCTTCAGGGCCTTGGCCTTGTCAGAGTCAGGGTTCCGAGTGATTCCACGGATCTTGAAGGCTTGGGATTTGTTCTGGAGAAGGGACTGGACAACGCTGCCGCCTTGGGCGCCAGTAGCACCATAGACAGTGATGAGCTGAGGAGAAGACATTGTGGTGGTTCAAAGTTGGTAAAGAGCAGAATGGATAGGTGTAAGCTTGAAGGTATGATTGTCTGGGATTTGAGTGCTGATCGTTTGAGTGCTGATGAACTTGTCATACAGCTCGACTACACCTGTCTTATATACTCGACCACGCTCTTTACGACCCCTTCGAAGCCCAATCTCCGCAACTATGATGGTTTGACCCATCCAGACACAATACGCAAATATTTCTAATCACAATACACCGGCCGCGTCTTGCCCATCCACACAAGTCCGCACTTCACGATGGCCTCTGTCCCCATTCTGCCTGGGACGGCGTAACCTTTGGGTCACACAAGCTGCCAGATTACTCCGACTCCTGCCCACGGGTCTGGACGGACCAACCAGAACCCACGGATGGTCTTGGGAGTTTCTCATCATCTGGTCTGGGCCACGCAGTCCGCGGGTAGCGATGGGCGGGTGTGGCTTGCGCTAGGTCAAGTTTATACGGTGGACGCGTGGGAGGTGAGTACAAGATTATTAATTCAGCCCTAGGCGAATTGTACGATGGAGACGGTTGCGGAGGAGCGGACTTTGGATGGGTCGATTGTTTATGCTTGTAAGTAGGCTCTATGGACAGAGATTTTATCTACACCAAGACACCTCAGGAATAGAATAATCGAGATGCAGCAAAGCTTGAAACTGACACGACAATCTCTGACGATGTAAGTTTGGGCGTTGACAGTGTCAACGGAACGAGGCGTCCGAGGCGAGGTGTCAGCAGCTGCCAACGGCCGTCCGCAACTGCCCGCTTAGACACAATTTTCGCCCACCGTATCCAAGCAACAGGAGCATCACGTGCTCCTCACTTGACTCGGTCTGGTGGTCTAGTGGTATGATTCTCGCTTAGGGCAAACCCGAAAGCAAGCTTGCGAGAGGTCCCGGGTTCAATCCCCGGCCAGACCCTTTCTTTTACACTTTTTGTCGACTGGAGCATCATGCTTTTTTTACTTGGTTCATCTTTTTGCCGGCCCTCATGACCCATTTGAGGGTTCTGCGAGTTATCATGAGGAGATGGTGTACAGTGTGACGTTGTGTTATGATCTCGTGTCAGTGATGAAAGTAGGAGGCATAGTAGGAGATAAGAAAAGAATGAGAAAAGGATAAGAAAAGGATGAGCATAATCTCCCCAATGTTGTGGACAATCCTTTCTATGCAACAACGGTGACGATTCAACTGGTATCAATATTGTGGCCCTATTCCATTTAACGTCCCGTCTCCATACACCAATGCTGGACCCCATCCCCAACTCCTCCCATCAGTTGACTAGAGATACAAGAATAAGTAAGAACGAAACATGAAACGCGCTTCCATTACTGATGAAGCTGCGAAGACCAAACGGAAACCCACACGGACTCTTCCAGATCAGTTCCTTATCGCGAGTTATCGGGCAGTTCCCACCTCTGTGTAGTCTCGTGCGCCGTATACACGGGAGGCGGGCTGCTCGTCTGCCCCGGCAGCTCAGGTGGCCTGGCCTCTCCTGACATCTCCACTCGGGCATCCCGTCCATCCATCTCCAGATTCGGCCGCCAACCGTCGCCGGTCATCTCGTGTTGTCCAGGGACCTGGACGGGTGGACTTGGTGTCACGGCGGGGAAAGGGTGAACCTCCCGACCAGAAACCTCACGTTGGACTCCGACCCCAGAGAGTTCGTTGGTATGAGACATAGATGAGACGGGAGAGACTGCGGTGGCACCAATGGGCTTCCTCTGTATCGTGTCCTTTCGCTCTGGTGCAATACCAGCACCGCCACCTGCGGTAGTTTCGGTGACGGGTTGTGTAGTCGGGAGAGTCTGTGCTTGTCGTTGCTTTCTCCGTCTGATGAACCACCAAGCAAATAGTCCAATCGCCGCAATAGCCACTACAGGTACTGCTACACCAACGCCAATCTTGACAGCCGAGTTGTCGCTCGAATCGGATAGGTTGATCTGTGCAGCAGATCCGTCTGGGTTCACGTAATAGGTCGAGGTCGCCTCGACAGTTACTAAGAGAAGTGAGTTAGCACACACTCAAGTTACACACGCCAGACACAGGCACAGTACCTGGAGCAACAGCAAAGGAACTGTCACCATGAGTAGCAGGAACTTACCCCGCGACTTGGACGGGCCTGCGCCTCCCTCTGTCGTCTGTGTGACAATGGTCAAGCGTGTTGTTGTTTCGACTGAGCCTGAATCGACTGTTTTGCTAGGCTCCGCGTTGGTGCTATCATCGTCATCCTCCCCTGAGGGTGACTGAGGCTCCTCCGTCGCTTCGGCTGGGCTGTACCAGTTGGTGGCACCAGGCTGAGTAAATCCGGCCCCCATACAATAAGAGGCGTAGATGGACTGCATGGAGCTCAAGTCTCGGGATCGATCTCCTGCTGAGCATGTTTTGGTGGCGCACTGGGACATCCAAGCATCTGCTAGGGATGCCGACGCAGATGCTGTAGCACAATAACAGTTGTTGTCATAGGGGTCATCGCAGCCCATGGCCTTTCCCATGTCGCTGATGATGGTGTAGTAGAGACATTTGCTTATACATGTGTGTCC